TAGTACACAGTTGTTGGTAGTATTCTCTTTTTAATCTTTACCCTTTAATCTCTGCCTTATTTGTCACTGTATTCCCTCTTCCATATGTAATATTATTTTTGTCTTCTCTATTTCTTTCTTGATTAATTTTGCCAAAGATTTATCTATTTTTGGTCTTTTCAAAAAACCAAATGCACCAGGCTGATCCTTGTGTCCTCCATAGCACACGGTAATTATTCAATAAACATTTGTTGAATTGTTGAGTATATATCAATAATTTAATACTGAATAAATCCCCAAGTATCCTGGCTAATGAAATTTTTCCTAACATAATTTTTTATAAAAAGCTTCACTAAACAGGGACTCAAGAGATATTCATATACATAAGATAATTCAGGATTTAAGAGCAACTATATACAATAAAATAAAGGTAAGAGTCTTGACATATTTAAGATGAAAAAATATAGAAGGAAAAAAATAACAGCCAACAGTCAGGCATCAGAAAATTTCCATCCTCTTATGTAGAGTGTGTATGTTAAGGCTAAGGGTCAAAAGCTAACGACCAAAACCTGAATAACAACATATAATTAATGAACAAGGGCCTGTTCACACATTAGGAAAGACTGTTCTGAAATTAGATCCCACACCTTGATTACAAGTGCCTTTGCAAAGTGTGACTATAAAGCAAAGTATAGGCTGTAACTTGTGGTAAATTATTCAAGGGGAGAGAATGTGTTTATTCATCTTTGTAGCTCTACAGTGCCTGATGGATTAAAATCAAAACATACTTTCTAAAATCAATATAGACATTTAAATGACTGTTATCCCATTTAAAATTACAAGATTGATGAACTTTAACAATAATTTCTTTCATTTCAAAGAATATATAGTTGTTCTTCACTGCCTATGGAATGAAGTTAAAATTCTAACCTGGGATTTAAGTCCACTCACAATTTTCTTTTCTTTTTTAGTATTGTAATTTTCTTTTCTTTTCTAGTCTCATTTCCCACTTTTTTCTTTCAAGCATCTTATCTGTCAGTCAAACTAAACTTTCTGATTTCACACTTGCTTGCTTCCACACTGCTGGTCATTTGGCAATTTTTTAATGTCATTTATCATTTTCTTCCTTGCATTGTATCTTACATAGGAAAACATAGCTTGTTTTCCTTGTTAGATTGTAAGTTTCTCGTGTCAGAGACAATGTCTTTAACTATATTTTATTACCTATCACAGGGCCTGGCACATGGTAGGCACACTACACACAGAACATGTTGAAGGAATTACTTAATGTATGAATAATACAAACAAAGCTCGAAACTATGAACTAACTTTTGACAAGCCACAAAAGAAAAATGATGTTCTTAATTTACTGCAGTGGTTTTTAAATATAAATGGGCATAAAAAATACCTGGGAAGCATGTTAAAAATGTCAATTCTTGATGTTAGTTCTTACCAGGGGACTTGAAGGAACACTGAGAGACCACTGAAGTTATCTAATAAGAAGCAAATATAATATCTCCTGAACCACAGTTGACAGTAAAGAGGAGAAAAGGAAGAAATGAATACAAGAGAATAACAGGCACACTCCTGGCCATGGGAGTCATTGCCAAATTCTTCCTTTGCACGAAAGTCAATTTTTGGCTGTTTTTCCTTACATCTAACCTTTGGCTTTTGAAATCAGGATGGCAATACATATGTGTTTATCTGAAATTCCACTCACTTCAGTGTATACAGAGAAATAATCATTATTTTTCTCAGAATACTTTTCAGATATTTATCACATTTCAAAATGTACAATACATAGGCTAAACTACAGAGACATTTTATCCAATAAAGCTCTTTGAAAAAAAATGTTACTATGTGTTAGGTCAGCAGCAAGGCACTGAGAGAACTATCATGTTTCCTTTAGATTATTTCAAATAAAGGATATGAATTACAGGAAGTAAAACTCCAAGTGGTTAAGAGGAAAAGAGTTTTTGCACTTCAGAAGTTTGTAAAATGCCAGTATTCTAAATTCCATGCACTGAACTCCTCAGGATAGCCTGCTACAGTACACGGTATCTGTCGCTTCTCTATCCATTTGGCAAAGACTTCACAGAGACAAATGTTATAGAGGCTCAAAAACGGAGACTTCTAGAAAAATGACCAAAGCCAGAAATAAAGTTGTACTAATTAGAAAACAAATAATTAAATGGCCAAACCCGAATGTTGTGTGATGCTGAAAAGAGATAAATTTCTAAGGCACACCATCTGTTTTACAGTTTTTTATTTTGCTGTATTACAAATCTACTCAGTACAGTTTTGCAATGATCTAGCTGCTAACTCATTTGCACAATTACTGTAGGCCAGAAATAATTATTGTACAGAATCCTTTGAGAGATCAACAGATTCACAGAAGAGGGCAGTCATAATCCATTCTTGAGTAAAGACTATTTTTTAGCCCTTAAAGAAAAAAAGTGTTATTCAAAGAAATGATTAGAAATTGCCAATGGAAAATTAGAGAATTTAAAAGGAGAGTGATACTATTGTGTATTTACTGTATCTAAACTTATCTTGACTTCTTCTAAATGTTGTACTGCCTAGGCATGTTGTTTGGGCCTCTTTTCTCTATTTGTATTTTCCTCCTAATTCATCCCTTCAGTCCAATGGCTTTATGTGGCATCTACATACTCAAGATTCTCGAATTTATATTTCCAGCTCAGGCTTCTCCAGTTCCAGACTCACATATTCAATTATCTATTTGATATCTCCATGTGGATATCACATAGACATTTTAAACTTATATCTAATATAGAACTCTTGATTCACCACCCCTGCCCTAGAAAAGAAATCTATTTTCCTACAGTCTTCCATATCTCAGTAAATGGCACCACCATCCAACCAGTTGTTAGAGAAAAATCTAGGTGTCATCCTTGGTTCCTCCCTTATTTTGGGACAACCTGTATTATCTCACAGGTTCTTTTCTTCATCTCTGTTGGTACCACCCTATTCAAGCCACTGTCATCTCTCAACAATACTACCTCAGTATCTATTTAATTCCCTATTTCCAAGCCATTTTCTACCCAACAGCCACAGTGATCTTTAAAGAATATAATCATACATTAATTTACATTTCAATTAATTAATTTCATGTAATTATATCATGTATCCCCAGTACCTAACTCAGTGTCTAGCAAATAATAGATCTATAATTTTTTTCATAGATGAATACACCTCAGTAATATTCCCATGTGCTCTAGTAATCACCAATCTCAGTTCTCAGACATTTTCTGAGACATCTATAGACCTATTCATTTACTGTGTCATTCAATCATTCACTAATTGTTTATTGAGTTTTGCCTTAATTGGGATTAGGTTCAGCTGCATATTTTAGAGTGTTTTAAAGATGACAGAAGTCGTTTCCTGCTCACATAAAAAATTCTGTAAACTAGTGCAACCTCTGTGGAAAGCAATATGGAGATATCTTAAAGAGATACAAGTAGAAGTACCATTCGATCCAGCAATCCCATTACTGGGTA